TGGTGAGCAACCAGTACTCAGGCAGGGATGGTGAGCAACCAGTACTCTGGCTTTGTATTGTGGTGTTGGCTAGATCAGATGTTGCCCACAGTTTGGAACATGACATTATCATACGGTGGAGTCACAAAGATGAAAGTAATAGTTATGAAAGAAATAGTCGTAGGTCCCAAAACTAAGTACTAATTTGTATGTTCCAGGCATGAAGGAAGCCAGGTGTGTTGCACTTGTTTGTTTTATTCATTAGCTTCCTGGTTAAGCACCAGTGTGCGGTTAATGTTGGCAGAAAGGAGACAAAAGGGCAGTAGTGGGAGCATGGGGTTCTTAACAAATGTAGATAAAGCTGAGGCATCCTTTTCCAGTCAATCAGGTTCTCTTTTAACATATTTGCAAATTACTTGCAAGGCTGGATTATCCCATCAGCCAGCACTTGTTATGATCTAACAGAGTGGATCATAGCAGCCGAATGAATATATAATTTTTATTTTTTTAATATTAGTTACAGTTTGTTAACTTTGTATCCCTGCTGTATCCTGCTCCCTCTCTCCCTCCCAACCCCACTCTCCCACCCTCATCTTCTCCCTGCCCCTTTCCAAGTCCACTGATAGGGGAGAACCTCCTCCCCTTCCATCTGGCTGCAAAGTCCTCCTCTGTGGCCTAGCAGGGCTGCTCCTCCCTGGCAGGGGGGGAGTCAAAGAGCCTGCCATTGAGTTCATGTCAGAAATAGTCCCTGTTCCCCTTATTAGGGTACCCACTTGGATATTGAGCTACCAAGGGCTACATCTGAGCAGGGACTCTAGGTTGCATCCATACATGGTCCTTGTTTGGAGAAACACTCTCATAAAAGATCCCTGTGCCCAGATATATTTGGTCTTTGTGGAACTCCTGTCCTCTCCAGGTCATGTTAACTCCCCCCCCCCTTTTTTTGTTTGATTCTCTCCGAAGGTTTGGTTATGAGAATATCTGCTTTGATACATTGCTAGGTAGAGTCTTTCAGAGGCTCTCTGTGGTAGGCTTCTGTCCTGTTGCTTGTTTGCTCCTACATCCAATGTCCATCCCATTTGTCTTTCTAAGTGAGAATTGATCTTCGTACCCTGGGTCATCTTTCTTGTTTCTCTTCTTTAGGTGTGTAGATTTCAGTATGTTTATCCTATCTTATAGGTCTATATAAGTGAGTGTATACCATGTGTGTCTTTCTGCTTCTGGGATACCTCACTCAGGATGATCTTTTCTAGTTCCCACCATTTGCCTGCAAATTTCATGATTTCCTCGTTTTTAATTGCTGAGGAGGATAGTATTTGTCAGAAAATATGGCAGTGTGAATAGATTTGATAAAGTACTAAATTTTAAATTAAATTAAAAACTATATTTAGCATAATGATTGAAATTTCATGATCCACAAAATGTCATGAAAATCTAAATTATGGTTCCCACAATAGCAATAATTCAGCCAAACTGCACATATATATTAGGGCATTAAAGTTAACACTCTGTTGTGAGCATGTAATAAACTACATCTGCATAGGAACACAAGTTATGGGAGCCTTGGGGACCATCATTTGTAGTTCCTGACTCACATTCCAAATTTGATTCAAGTGTTGTGAATGGAACTGTGTTGAAATTCCACAGGAACTGACAACTTAAACAATCACTAACAGTTTAAAAGGAGATGCTTCTGAAATATTGTAAATATTGTATTGTTTAGTTACTATAGTGATTGAGACTTTTACAAATATTAAGCATTCATTCTCAAGGAAACTTTCAAACTCAAAGTTCGCCAGTATTATTCCAGTTTTGAAGCTACATATCTGAAGTTTGAGATAGTCTCATGTAGTCCAGGCTGGCCTTGATCTCACCATATACCAGTGGTGACCCTTCTGCCTCCATCCTAAAAGTACTGAAATTATAAGCATGTACCACCTCGCCTAGCCTGAACTTTAAAGGAAAAAAAAAAAAATCTAATGATGGGTTTGTTTTATTTGTTGCAGAAATATTACTGGAAAAAAGTATATTAGTAAAATATATTGAAACAACACACTATCAAAAAGAGCAAAAGCAAAATTGGAAAATATAAAGAAAAATTGAGTCACAAAGAAAGTACTTGACTAAAGCACTTTGCGTTCAAAGCCTGTGCCTGTACTGCCTCACTAGTCACATGGAAATTATCTTGCTTGTTTTTTCACTTTGTTTTCACTTGTAAGTACTTTGTGTATAGGACTAAAGCAATGATTGTGTTGAAAAGTTTTCTGCATTATTACTGTGTGCTCTCTCTCTCTCGTCTCCCTTTCCCTCCCTTTCTGTCCATCTCTTCTCCTCTTCCTGTGTGTATCTCTTAACAGTTCATCAACTTTTTATTAAATGTATCTGTTGAATCTGTTTATTAAGCATTTTTAAGTAAGTGAGAGTTTCTGCAGCAGCACAATTCATACTTTTAAACTTGCTATGTCGGGTCACTTCCTACCACGTTACCTGTTTACATTACACTCTACTTCCTGCTACCTACAGGAGACTTTTCACTTCAGCCTAGACAGCGCTGCGTGCCTCAGTCTGTCCTCGCTCTCCCAGATAGTCATAATCTTGCTCTTCAGTGCATCTTTGCCATCAGGGTACCATCTCTTCTTCCCTCAAATAACCCACAGTAGTTTTTAAAGAAACTACTAAAATACACCTAAATACAGGATGCCCTCCCTGTTCAGAATTCCAACCCATCTTCTCCCAGTACTCCTAATTTTGTTACCCTAAATCTATTATTTCATTCAAAGCACCTTTCACCTTCTAACACACTACTGACTTATTTACAGTGAATACTGGTTAGTTCACCTGTCACTAGAATCTAAGAATATCAAAAGCACATAGATTCTCAGCAACTTTTTAATCGGCAGGTGAAAGTGCTGATGCCAGATGTTTTGGAAACTAGTGATGGTTCGGGCATTGAAGTAGCAGTTTATGAAAGAGCTTTGTTTCAGTGTAGCGTTTCACATCTTTAATCTGCCAATCCACTCTTCATCTTATGTCCCTATAATATTCATTTACATATATGTATATTATGCAAGACCTTTATAAGATAGACATGAAAATTAAGCTAGAAGCTTTAAAAAAAAAAAAAAAACTGGGTTTTGCTGTGTAGCCCTGGGTGGCCTAGATCTCACTTTAAAGATCAGGCTGGCTTTGAAATCACAGTGCTAGGGTATCTCCCAAGTGCCGGGATTCTAGGAATGTGCCACCATATCCAACCAAAAAGCTTAAACATATAAACCGTTGTTTAGTACAGACAGTTACAGTTGATTAACCCATGCCTTTCTGCTGCTTATGCAGTACCTGCAGCATGTCAGTGTATCTTCATATTCAAACAGCAATGCTGTGTTTTTCCTTCTCTCTGACCAGAGCATGTGACCGACTTCGTTGTGTAGCCTGTGATTTCTGGGTAGTGAGCTACCGTGACTACATGTGGGACGAGTCGTGTGACTACCTGTTCTTCAGGTATGTTTCTGAGGAATTGCATCCTGTGGAAAGGGCTCTTCATTTCCCGTGTGTGTGTGTGTGTGTGTGTGTGTGTGTGTGTGTGTGTGTGTGTGTGTCGGTGGTCTGCTTGTCTGGTCATGGTCTCTAGATCTCGTCCGTCTCATCTCCTTTCACTCTGTTGTCAGCTACATAAGGATGTGTTTTGAATGAGAGTACAGAAGCAGTGTCATTGATTTCGTGTGCACAACCTTATTGCGACCATTCTTTGTACGCTCGCTATCAGGGCAGAGTTCCGAGGATGCCGTTACTGTGCCCAGTCTCCTTTTGTTTACAGATGTCATCTTCAGGACCCTCCATTATCCAGATTCTCTCCAACCTTATCTCCCTCCAGTGACTCCATCCCTTTAGCTATATCACAGCCCTGGGTACCTCGTTCCTTCCCTCCAACTTTGCAGTTTCCATCTCCTGACACATCTGACCCCATTTTCTCTCCCCAAGCCCTGCCTGACCTTCTAAGTGTGGTTCCTCATCAGTCTCACGTGCTTCTCTCACCACTCTCCGAGTTTGGAGATAATGCACTCACTTGTGCATTCATGTGTGCATAATACACAAACACGTGGAATAATATAATTTCAGAAGTGTCACAGTCCTGACCCCAAAAAAGTCTAGTGTAGCACCAAAATCCCAGGTTCAGACCACCTACTCTTAGCTTCCTCCCCTTTTACTCTCACCTTTGGAAAATTAACTTTAAACTTCAATTCTCCTTTGGATTTTTGGTGTAAGGGTTTTCTATTCACCATCTCCTGTTAATCTAACAAATGATTAAATAATTCCCATAAGTCACCAACATGGACATGAGTTTCTATAATACTAGCATAGGAATGTAAGATGTTTGTAACACCAAAACAGTAGCAAGCACAGGCACAGAGTAAGTTTATAAGTAATTGACTTGGTATGTGAGAAACACACGGTGTCTTGGTCTTCCAGAATGGCAGGCATGGTGGTACACTCTGGAAACTGAGGCAGAGGACAATGAGTTCAAGACCAGACCTTACCACTAGAGAAAAGACAAACTAGCTAGTTTACTCTAGATTTTTGGTAGTCACATTTTAAAATATAGTTTACCTAAAATAGTGATTACTAGAATTACTACACTGTTAAAACTAAATTAGTGATTACATAAATCAGTAAAAAATAAAATCTAAGCCCTCAGAGATACTTAGAAATATGTTTAAAAGACAAGAGAATAACAACTAAAGAATCTGGTTATCTCAACCAAGATGCAAATCACTGATGCATCTATTTTGTGTAACTCCTTAGCTTTTCTTTGTCCAACGGACATTCTTGAGCCACTCTCAGAAACTGGGCTCGGGAGGTAAAGAGCATCCAGGGCCTGCCCTAAAGACGAAGCTCTGAGAGGGAGCTGAACATCACACTGACAGTGGGGAAAGGGGTGCATGCTGGACAAACACTCTGAACTGAGTCATGTCCCTAGCGCTTAGGGGCATTTTAAAGACACGGAGAGATGAAATCCTGGCATGAGTGTGAAGTACTCTGGACAAGAGCAATAGACGGCAAGAGCTGAAGTGATATAGAAGGTAAAAAGGCCAGGAAAGCAGTAGTGAGGAGCTTAAGTGTGATCCTTTCAGCGGCGGCCTACAGAGGAATGCTTTTAATTTAGAGAGAGGCCTGTTCAGAGTTCAGTTCTCTGGCCCTGTGTAGTGGCCTGGAACTTACTTAGCATAGCAAGCGGCCCATGAACTTGTGGCATCTCCCTGCCTGATTTCTGGTGCTGGGTTTACAGGCACTCACTGCCACACTCAGCTTTTAAGAGAGACAGATCACCAGGTGGGGAAGCCAGCCAGTGCAGGATCATGAGGATTAATGCAGAGTGTTACAGCAATACAGGGGTGAGCTGGCAGGAATCACGGCAGTGAGAAAGGCAAAACAGAGCCTGTGTGCCAAAGAGAGATGTTGTCTGATTCTGGCAATGGAATGTGAGAGGCAGTCAGCATCTTAGGAGAGTCTTACTAGGCTTCTTTCTTGGTTCACACAGATAGAGTGTGCTAGGGTTCTTTTAAAGGAAGGAGCTAGACATTGAACTACAGGTACTGTTGAAATGGTCTGAAGCTCTGGGAGTAATCACAGTCGAATCCATGAGACTGGACATGATCACCCAAGGGGGCAGCTTGGAAGAGGCTGACGCAGAACTGGGGTCCTTTTTGTTAAGGAGATGCTTTGAGGCTGATATGGTAAAGAATGGGTATGTCAGGGCTAAGAGCAAAAGAGTCCCGAATAATGACGGAAAAGAGTTTGTGTAGGAGGAGGAGGACCACCTCCTTTGTGTCAGAGAGGAGGCAGCAAGACATTTGATAGAGTCATGAGTGTTCACTCAGAAAGTTAAGATACCACATCTCTGGTCCTGTTTTAGAATTTGGGTATGATCTAAAGAAATTAAAAGTAGTAGCGAATAAATGAAACACAGAAAAACAGGGACTGATTCCCTAAAGGAAATTATGGTAGTTAGTGAATAGAAGGTTTCAGAGTCTGTCAGACACTTGACCGAACATGCAAGCATGTGTTTCGTAGTGTCAGGTACATGCTTGTTACCGTGGTGCTGTACAGTTGCTTCATTGTGTTATTTTACAAGTCAGGGAAATAACTATGTGCTAGTTTTCACATGCTTTAGAACTTTGTAAAGGAAACCTACGCTGGATTTACTGACCACCCTGCCACTATAGCTTAATAAAATGCTTGTATTTTTCTATTAAATCATGTGTTTGCCTTAAAAGAAAATAATGGCATAGTTTATATTCTACACTTTTAAGATAAACGCTCCTTAAAGAATACTTGAAAGATGTTATTGAGTCCCCTGGTATCCATGACTCCTGTATCTAAAGTCTCTAAGCAATCAGTAAATAGCAAGAGCTAAGGTTAGCAAAGCACAAGGTAGATTGAATAAAGGTGTATGACCTTTCATTAACATAGTTTTTCATCCTAATGAAGCCAGATTTTCCTGTTCTTCCTGTAGTTCTCTATAACCCTAGCTAGGTCACAACTGGCCAAAGTGTCACTTTCCTAAGCTCATAGCCAGCTGGCCCAGAAACTCTCTAGGGTTTTGTTAAGTTCTCACCATCTAAACAGTGCCTGAATTTGCACACTGCGGTAGTGAGTGTGGTACACACTGACCACCAGAGGGCACTTTGGAACCTGCCTTCTGAAGATACTAGTAAGTAATGGAGCTTGGCCACCAAGCTTCTTTAGTATTTACACTGCATTTCATCTTTTCTCTTAGTGTTTTTCCTCCACCAACATTTTACTTTTAGCTTGTTCAGTTTTATTTTCCAAAGATTATGTTCATAAGCTTATGACATGAATTATCATAAAGAGTATAATTCTCTTTAATAACTAAACTAACAGTAAGTAACTTCTGTATTCTTTTAATGCAATCAAACCCAATGGTTTTCATTTTAATAATTGTCTTTCTCGTTTCGTTATTTTTGTACGTTATTAACACTTCAGGAAATGTGCTTTGTTGCTGATATAATAAATAAGCAGATCATTTTAAACAAACAAGAAACAGTCTGAGTTCAGCATTGAGAATTAACAGACTCCTTTTCCCAGTAATAGAAGCATGCTACTACAGCTAAAGCCACAGAAGCCCACTGCCTCTCTGCTGCCTACCATAGGTCTTAGTGGCACAGGTATCTGAGGAAGGAGTGAGCCTTCTCGCTTCTCATCCTGTTCTCATTCCTGTTCTCACTCATCACAGATGAGTGCCATCAGTAGTTCTTCAGAACAGTCACTCTAGAAGATTGCCATTGAAAAGCAGACTATTAAAAAAAGAAAGAAAGAAAAGCAGACTGTCAGAAAAACGCCATCAGAAACAGACAGCTAAGCCTGTCTCCTGCTGCAAGTGTAAACAGACAAAGGTTGTTTTTAGTTGAAGAGGCTGCAGGAAACTAAAACATCATTAAACATTAAACACAGACACAACCCTTAAGCCTGTCTATTTCTCCACAGAAACAACATGCCAGAATTCCACAAACTCAAAGCAAAGTTGGTGAAGAAGAAAGGAGCACGGGCTTATGCCTGCCAGTGTAGCTGGAGAAGTATTGAAGAACTGACTGAGCTGCAGACAGATCATGAGCTTCGTTGGGTTTGTGGTAAACACTGAGAATGCAGCCTGTTCGCGTTCCAGTGGCTGCATCCGTGAGAACAAGCTCCACTCGCTACCCTCGGGACAGTGCGTAGCAGTGTTGTGCCCTTTGGGAAAAGGCAACAAATTTCGTGTAACTACACATTTTTGAAGACCAAATGGAATGGGAAAGACCTGTGACGCCTTGGCTTCACTCCTTGTGACATGGACATTTTACTTAGAAGGTTAAAAATATCTGAATACACTCACCTGTATCCTTTCAGGGACTGAAATTGTGACATTCTGTGCAGCTTTCCAGCCCTTCCAAAGCAATGGCAGTACTAGCTGCTAATGCTCTCTAAAACTTTGCGCGTGTGGCGTCATCGTGAAGAGTACCCAGCTGGCAGGGCAGAGTAGTCTCTGTATATGAGGGTTCAGGACTCCTCCTGCTCTGAACCATTATTATCAGAGACCGTACGTTAAAAGAACAGATGACCATCGGTCAACTGAAGGATCGTCAGGAGTACATTGTAAAGCTGCCTTACATGTATCTCGCCCGGCCTCACCACCTCGGCTCAGTATTACAGTAGCAGGAGTAGTGACAGTGATGTTAGCAACTTTAACTTCTATGCCTCCTTCACTCCCTGCAATGTCAAGAGTTGTTTAGTTTCCCGTTAGCAAATACCATTTATATATAAAGATTTTTGATGCAACTAAAATTACTAAACTACAAGTACGTCATTGTTGGACTTTTCACGTATACTCCATAATTCCCAATGAGTAGCAGGCAACATGTAGACTTTCTAGTACCATCAGGCTGATAGATTATGACTGAAGCCTGGCCCGTGGGTAGCTGCTGGGCTCCTGCTGATATCGCTGAGAAGAGAGGCACTGTGTCATCGTAACGTTCAAGAAATGCATTCTCCGCTTTACCTCCCAGCCCCGGACACAGGTCAGCCCCTTTCTAGTCTGTGTCTGCTTCCCACATGTGTGTTATTTGGTTTAAACATGTGACGCAGGGCACATGACACAGATAGTTTTGTCTTAACTTCATTCCAGCCACCCAACAAAACTCTGATCGCTGCAAGACTTTTCCTAGCCTAGGCGGGGAATCTCAGCTCAGTGGTAGAGTACTTGCATTGCATGTGCAAGGCCCTGAGTTGATTCCCAGCAGTACCAAAAAAGGAAAGAGAGAGAGAAAAGCAAGCTTTTCCTGACCATGACACTTTTATGTATTTATAAAATTTTAATTGTAGCAAAAGAGGTCTCAAAGTGGCTGATACTGGTATTTTTGTATTAAGATATACTTAAAATTTTATCTTTCAATAAATATTTTCATTCCTCAAAATTATATCTCTGTGTGATTATGTAGGAAACATAGAAAATTTTTATTGACAGCATGTATTCTTAAAAAGCAAGAGCAATAGCATGCACGTGCATACTCAGAAACTTGTGAAGGCCAAGTGAGTTCAGCACACTTGTAATCCCAACACCAGAGAGACTGAGGAAAGAGGGTTGTGAATTCAAGGCCAGCCTGGGCTACATTAGTGAGCCACTGTCTCAAAAATAAAAAGTTTGAGAGAGAAAGAAATCCTACAGAACTTAACAGACTCACCATACTGCTGCTTTCTCTCAATTCCAGTATGTACATTACTGAACCAGTGATTTGAAAATATTTTAGAGCCATGCATGGTGACCCAATGCTAGTGCTCAGAAGGCAGAGCATGGCAGATCTCCGAGTTTGAAGTCAGTCTGCTTTAGAGAGGGGGTTGGGGAGGCCTGGTATTTTCAGTCTATTTTGTCTCTAGAGGAACAATATGGGAAATTGAACACATTGCCCATTCTATACAATCATAATTCTCCAATATCAGAAATGCATGTGTCAGGCACCAAGGCCTGAAAACCTGAGTTCAAGCCACAGTCCTCTGATGTCCCTACAATACTGTTTCCTGACCATGACATCCCATACACATACACACACTTGCTCTCTCTCAGTAAATGTGAGGGTTGTTTTTGTTTTGTTTTTAATTTTAGAGCCAATTTCACTTAACATTCTTGATGGAGGCAGTAAAAATTAACTATTAATCTCACTCCTCAAAAACACATTTTAATGTAATTTTTTTAGGTTTATTTATTTTTAAATGCATGGGTGTTTTGCCTACTTGCCATCTACTCCCTTTGGGGGGGGTGTGGGGCAGGGCACTGTGGAACCAGAAAGAGCCGGTCCA